ATTTCTTTAATTACGATGATCCATTTACACGAAGAATTTTTCAAGATTTACTTATTCATAAAAATTCATAAATTCGTTTTCAGATTATACCATCATTTTTCTAACAAGCAAAATTATTACAATACATGATAATATAGAAATTAGATTCTAAAAAATTTTCAGAAAAATTGTAAAAAAAAGGAAATTGTATTATATATAATGATAAAAAATGAAAATATTTTCAAAATCCATTTCCATATTCAAACATTTATAATTTCGTCTTATCTTTTTATTTAAAATTACTTCTTTTCGAATTAGTATTTTGACAAGTATTTTATTTATCATATTTTCTAATTAAATTATTAAAATGTACCGCTACAAGTCAAATCTTACAAAAATTTTACAAAAAGATCTTCAAAAATTAGGAAAATTCGTGAAAACAAAAAGAAAAAAGCTTGAAATTAAACGTTCGATATAGGATAATGGCAAGGTGGATGCAGGAGCCCGGATAAAAGCGGACAATCATCGGCTCAGAAGCAGCGAGCCTCGTTAAAAGTGTGCGGCAATTAATCTGCCTCGAGTCTCGTAAATCATTGACGCGGCGATCATCGAAAGGAAGTCGTGGGTCAGCGACGCGAACGTTCATCGATCGATCGATCGATGTTTTACGTCGCGTTTCTCTATTACGTTAATGAAAGCTTACCTTAATGGCTATGTTTTATCGATGTCAAACGCCATTGTGTGCATTGCTTTGTTAACGAGATCCTATAACCGAATGTTAAATAATTCGATGCGATCAATTCGCATAAAAGTTTCTCTCAAACCATTTTTCAAAAAAAGACGATTGAAAAATTTTCTTCCTAATCTTAGATTGTAAAATAATATTAGACAAAAATATAAATAATTTCGATTTAATCATTTTACCTTTGGAATTAAAAATATTTTATAATCAAGAATTAAAAAAAAAAGACTAATAAGAATAGTTATAATAAGAGTTTGGTAAAAATATTTGGTAATATAATTGGAAAATATATGAAGTTGAACAAATAAATATTCAAAAATATAATACGTAAACGATATTCCATTAATATTTATATTGTAATCTCTCCGATCAATGTTATTCCACAATCTATTCCGAACAACTATTTTCAATGCATAAACAATCTATATCTGCCACACGGAAGACTACTATTTTGCATTATGTATCGCACACTAAGCAAGTTACTTAGCAAAAAGTACAAATTAATGAGATAAGATATAACCTATACCTCATTCATAACCACGTGCATAACCAACAATATCAACAGAAGCAACAACATTTGAAATTTTCTTAATAAAATTTAAAAAAAACTTTAATGACAACTTAATTTAGCGATTATCAAATTACGATTGCAATATTATATATATATCAAATAGCATATCAATTAAATATATATAATTCCTTTTTTTTCTTAAAGATTATACGAATAGCATCAATGAATCTGAGAATTAATATAATTAATCCGTCAAATGTTTTATTGTTCAAAACACATTTCTCTATTAAGCGATGCGAACGAAACCAGATAGAGCAGTTGCATTTTTCGGACTAGTTTCGATAAGGGCGTCCATTTAAAATTCAACGGGACATTGTGAACTCGGAATAAATTGTCTCGAGTTGCGATTCGATATGAATCGATACAAGTATCGACTTATCAATGAACAATATGAATCGTTTTTATCATGATCGTATCCATTTGTTTAAACATTTTTTTCTTTTTATTTATAGAAATATTTATTAATTTCAAATTAATTTAAAAAAAAAATTAAAAAAAGAAAATTTAATTTATGAGTAAAATTGAATAAATTTAAATGTTAAACAAGAAAGAATATTTAAAAAACTTAAATTATCTTCCAAGATTGGTGATTAAAAAAAATTTTTTTGAATTTATTACTCTATGATGTTCAACTTGATCTCATTTTATTTCAATAAATTAATTATTTAATTTTTGATATTAGTATTAATTGTTGTTTGATGTAATCTATTCTTTCAAAATTCCCTAGACATAAAAAGTTTAATGGTTACCCGATTAATCTCGAAAAATTATTATTCTCATTTTTTTGTATTCTTATCATAACTTTTTAATAAATTTCTTAAAAGATTTATATTTATATGACATATTTTCCTTACTTATATTCAAAAATACCATAATATTATATAAAGTGATCAGAAGAAAACTGGGACATCCCTGTGTATATATAAATTCGAGTTCAATGACGAAGATCTTTAACATTCTCTAAGAATATATGTTTCGGTATATAACCTTTTTAAATTGGCTTTTCATATATTTATAATATCTACTATCGACTCTTGTTTCTAATTACAATATTAATACATTAATAACTAAGGCAAGGTTATATTATCGATAGTTAATTATTATGGCCCATTAAACCGATTAAACGATTACTCACCGAACCGGGTGTATCCAAAGTCGTTAAAGACGAGTTAATTATTGCTCTGGACAAGATTGACCACTTTTCCACTTTTTATCGGAGAGAACCACTTTACTTTTGAATTAATATCGATAACACAATCCGTGTTGGACCATTTCGATCGTATCGTTCTTCAAATTTCCGATATTTCGCGGGAAATCGATCATTTTTCACACGACGCAACTCATATTTCATCTTAAACATCGAAACACTTAATTTTCACAAATAAATAAGATAATAAATGAAAAAAAATTCTTTCCTATTAACAAAATTTTCTTTTCATTTCTCCTTTTCTTGTATACGGATTGTTTTTTATACAATTTTTCGTTATAAAAAAAAAAACTATTATAAAATATTATCAACGATAATTTAACTTTTACTTTTATGTTATTTTTATATTATTTTAAATTAACTTTACTTTTATGTTATTTTATAAAATAAAAAGTTGCAAAATCTAGATTAAAAATTAAATTTTGAAATCGAATTTTTCCTTTAATACGCATAAATTTATGTTATAACACAAAGAGAAAGCAAAACTGTTTTAATAATAAAATATAAATAAATTTAAAATTTCAATAAATGTATAAATAAACCAATGAAGTTTCAAATGAGTTTTAAATTTTCAAAACAAAATTTTTAAAAGTATAATATATATAATAATAATTTATAAAATTTATGTAACGTATGAAAATAATTCTATAGTGTGAACATTTTTATCAAAAATCTTATTCAAAAATCTTTTGATTACGTTAATCGTATTGACTAATTATGTTTCTTTTTGTCAGAAATATTACAAATCTCGATTGAATAATAACACTGATTTAAAATCAAGATGCAACCGTTGATAGATAAAGAAAAGGAATAAATCAATCAAAACGAAACGGCGATCACCTGTTTGTTGAGCAACCGGTCGCGGAAGTGTCAGCCAAAGCAGTCACTCGAAACACCAATGAGTAAACACATTTTAATTCTCAATCATCCCGTGAACTCTTCAAACACCGAAAGATTCTTGTCACTTCCGTTCTTCGAGGCATTCACGACAAGTATCATTGTTCACCATGATAAAATCCTCTCGACCTTCTTCGTGATCCTTCATCTTCTTGGATTCGAAAAACGAAACGTCATCGGAACAACCGAAACACAATTGATTCCTAAGAGCCAATGACTCTTGTCTGATCTCGAATGTCTCGAGAATCACCGGCCACGATATTCTTTGACGCGAAACTTGTTAAAGTTATCTTGTTCACCGTTCACCACTTCGAAACCAAAGAATTCAAGGAATCCTAACCATATTTGGCACGTAAAATTCCACCGATCGAGAGACTTTTCAGGAAATCAAAATCATTTGAAGGATAAAGTTTATCCAGAGAAGCAGAGGATCACTAAAAGAAGATGGTCCTTCGATAAATCAGTTCTTTGAGCATCTCGAGGACGAGTGGTGCCTCGTGGCAAGAGGCTAGGACCAAGGAACGCTGCGAAACCGACTTGGACGACGTGTTACTGCGGAATGGTCGCAGAGTGCAGGCAGAATCCATGAGACCATGGTACGTTTCGTTCTCTCCCGTTCCCTTGTCTCTCCTGTACACCACGGGATCGGTCTCTCCTGCTCGTACTCCCAAAGAGGGAGACCCCTCGACTAGTGATGGCATTAAGACACCACGAATCCAGTTCGAATTCTATCGATACCAAAGACATCCTTATTACTATCGAAATAATGGAATAATCACTCAATGGAATAACAACCGAACGAGTTTCGCGAGATATCTATCGAAACTGTGACAAGTCGATACATGTCACTAATCGATTGTGACTAGTAGATCAGTTCAGTTAAGACAATTTTTCGAGGTTCATCTATATAAACTTCGTTTATTTGATAGAAGTTTCTTCAAGATTTTTTGATTTCCTTTTCTTTTAAGGATATCCTTTCTTTTTTTAGATTATTTTTAACTTTAATTTATTTATATTAAATATTTCAATTAATAATTTAAGTTAATATTTTTATGTAATATATAAGTATAAAAAAAGTGATCTTATTGACTACTACACATGTAAGTATATAAAATATAAATTAGAAAGATAAATTTATAAAATATAATTTAAATTTATTAATTCTTTGCAAATAAAAAATAATAAAATTATATTACGATAATAAAATAATAGCATGTAATAACTTTTAAAAATGTAAAAATATTTTTACAGGTTATAAATATTTTTCATATTTTTTAATTTATTACGTACGTATATACATTTCAAATTATTTTTCATGAATTATTATAAATATAAGTTAAGATAATGTTAAAATTTAATTCATCTTTTATAATAATTAATTTTTTTCAGGATTCTCGAATTATTAATTAACTTATTTAAAAATTATAAAATATAAAAAAATGATAAAATATACATATAATATTATTAACATATTATAATTTCATTAAAGTAATCAATTCTTAAAGGTTCGTTACCTTTAGCAATTAAAAAATAAGGAAGAGAGATGTAAACAGTTTAATAATTACCTATTAGACATAGTTAGTATAAATTGTTTGAAAACTTACGATATGGCAGAAACTGAATGCCCATCACTACCCTCAACAGAACTTGCCGGCTGCTTCTCTCCCCTGCTTCCCTTTGCCTTTCTGTTTCTCTCCTTCCCCTCTCTTACCGCTTTCTGGCCGGTTCATTGGTTCATCGGTGCACCGGTCCAGGCTCCGTATTCTTCTCTCTAATTATACCGTTACGTGCAATCGCTCGTGTCAATTAGCAGCTCTTTTTTTTTCTTTGCCCGAATGCAACCCTTTCTTTCGCGAAGGACCAAGAGAAGGATTTCGATTCGACTTCTCTCCTTCCCCTTACCTTCTATATCCTTCGAACGATTCTGGAGAGGCAAAGGGGTTGTTTCATGATTCTTCTTCTCCGACAAAGATTCTTTTCTTTTTAAGAGTTCGAAGTGGAACACTCTCGCTGAAAAACGAACATAAGTTAATAACAATGAATTGAAAGACTTGTTTCAGAAATATACGTATGTATTTTAAATGGGGAGAATTTAAGAAATGGCAGTTCTCTTTTTATTTAAATTAAAAATATAATATAAATAAAATTTAAATAAAAAATTAAAAATTTTCCATTTTGGATTCCATTTTAGATAATTATTCATATAAGTATAATTAATGATTATGAAGATATAGCTCAAAAATTAAATGCAGCTTTACAATAAAATAAATAAATAGAAGAAACATTTTATTATGTTATTCGTATTCTTTTCTTTATTATTTTATTTTTATACAAATTTTTGTCTGAAGAAATATGTTAAGAAACGTATAAATCATGAAAGTATTCAAGAAAGCAATCGTAGAAAGCAATTAGAAAAAAGTATGATACATGAATGGTATGTAAATAAAACTTTCATAAACAAACAATAAGACATATTATCAACATTCATTATTTAAATTAGAAAAAATTAAAAATTATTATTACTATTTTTATTATATATATATATATTGTTTATTTTAACATTATTATTTAAAATTTTTATTTATTATTAACAGATTTAAACAAACATACTAAACAATATAACAAAATAAATCTTTATATATGAACGTATATCACGATAGTTAAAATATTTAACTTTCGACGACACGATAGAATGTTTAACTTTCTGCGGAAAAAGAATGTGGATATAATTATCGCCTTTAAAGGTAGTCTCCCTTCGGAATGAAGTTGGGTCATTAGTAAGAAAGGCAGAACTCTTACTCACATCGATGAACACGATAAACCACTTGTTTTACATGTAAACACGCTCTGCTTGGGTAATTGAATAGGTTTATTCTCGTGCTTTCCTATCTATTGTTATTGAATTAATATTGAAATGGAAAAAATGTTCTTCTATAAAAAATAATTTAATAATTTTTTAAACACATTAAAGCATTGGGATTCATATTTTAATAATTAATTAACAATAATAATTAATTAATAATAATTTATCAAACATTTTTTTTATAAAACATATTATATTTATATTGAAGTATTTAAATTAGAAAAACGATTTTCTTATAGTAATTATTTTAAATGATAAAAATAATGTTAAAATTATTTATAGATTTCAATTATTTATTATCAAATTTAAATCTTTTTAATATATCGTGTTTAATATTTATAGTTCTCAATTTTTTCCTATCTGTAAAATGTATACATTTTATCTTAAAAATGCACTTTTTTCTTCTAATTTTAACATTATAATTAATATTACTTAATTTAAAAATATCAAGTTATTTGCTTAAAAAATTATCATAATCTCTGATTCTAACAAAAGAAAGTATTAAAAAAATAAATATATTATGTCTCGTTAAACAAGCCGTGCTTCTTATACATATATATATATAAGCCATGTTCGATTAATCCTTTGCAGGTAGAATCGTTTACTAGCCATAATATCGGTTCTAATTCCTCTTTTTTCCTCTTAATTATACCGTTAGGTGTAATCGCTCTCCTTAATTAGTAGCATTCTTTTTTTCTTTTGCTTCGGGCAAAATCCTTCCTATCCTCAATAAATCCAGTAACTTATCCTGTGAATCTCTTTTCTCGATCGGAGAATAAATATATTATAGTCGATTAATTAAATCGACTGTTCGATACTGTTGAAATTATCATTAAGATTACATATCTTCCTTATATTCCTTTCTTTTTAATAGAATTTTTATTTTTAAATATCATTTAAAATTTATATATACTAAAAGTTATAATTTTTTTTATTTTATTCATCATTTCAATATTTTCAGTTATATTTTGTGTATAAACATATAAAAAATGTTCTTACGAAAAGAAATGATACAATAATTCATTGTTTTTATATAAACAACGTATTTTAACTTAAAACTTGAAAAATGATTAATATAACCCTCTTTTATTTAACAAATACTATTTTTAAAATTCTGAATCCTTTTTTTTATTATTCAATATTTCTATATTTTAATTTACAAAATATTTAACATAAAGGAGTTATTAAAAAAAATATATTAAGCAAAGTTCCAACTTAAAAGGATAATTTCGCAATTGAATAATCTGAATAGGGTGGCTGATATTACAAATTCTTCCAGTTAGTCGAATTCATTCAGACATTGATAGGACAGTGGTAATTATACCTTTAAGACCCCTCGTTAGAGTCATGCAATTACTCTAATAAATTTGCATATTTCTTGTCAAGAACACACGTGCCAACCAGAGCGTTAAATTATAGAGTAGTTTCTCTGATCCAGCTAAAGGTGCAAGTAATTGGATTCTAGAGAAATTACTGAATTTTTTTTTTTTTTGTGTATATATTACAACATATATATATATACAACATATATTAAAATTGAAAAAAAATTCTTATAATAATTCATCAAACTGTACGAATATATTTCGTTATTATTATAATTCGTATTTTGACAAGTAAATTTGTACTTTAAAAATATTATTTTATTACTCTTATAACATTTTATATATCACGTTTTAATATGTACTTTCTAATTATAATTACAATATTAAAATTGTACAGATATAATAAAGAATTATAATAACTCATAACAATATCTAGAAAATGAATATTTTTTAGCGTTATTAAATATTTAAGTATTAATTATAATATATACATAATAGCATCTAAAAAAAAAAAATAGATACAATCGAAAATATTTTGCACATTAAAATATAACGTCATAGTATATAATGTATACGTATATAATTGCAATCCTAATTTATTTATTAAATCAATTTCGTTATAAAAACATATAATTAAAGTACAAAAAAAATAGAAAAATTTTATTTTCGTATATTTATAATATAATACGAAATTTATATTTATATATATATATAACATTTATCGATATAAATTTCTATAAGAAAAAAAAATAATAATAACGAAATTATAACGAAATATATTGCAATTAATGATTGATTTAAACGAATATTCAACTTCTTTCTTCTTAACAATTACTTTCAGTAAATTAAAAAAATTCTTATATTTTAAATTCCATATCTAATTTATATTTGAAGTGATAAAATATTTATAATTGTCAATTAGATAAATATTTATAAAATATCTCGGAAAAAAAAGAAAACTCGTTAAATAAAATATATGACTCGTAATTCGTAGTTGCTCGTGGAACATTTATAATCAAACGTTTCCTCGTTCGCATATCGCGCTATAATGGTGATGAATTTATGATCGTATGTTACGTTTTTCATCGACATTTACAATGCTAGTCTGTGTTATGCGAAACGCTGATCAAATCACACAGTTAGCAAACTCAATATTACGTATATACCGTCTCATATATCGTCTGTTATATGTAAGTACTCTTAGTTCTGATTACGTGCCGATTGAATGATGTGAATAAAAATCATAAACAATATCGATATTGTAGAGATTACACATAATTCATAATCATCACGCGCAACAATTTCGAACAACTTTTACACAATTTAAAATAAATACATATATAACTTATGATGAGAAAATGTAATAAAAATTTAACTCAAAAATATATTTAGTAAATTTATCAATTTGATTGATAATTTGTTATTTTATCTATTATGTATATAATGTATGTTGCAATTAATGATTGATTGAAACGATCAATCAAATAGAAAAGTAAAAATTATAATATTCTTAATTTGTGAAATTTTGTTTTAATCGTTTTGTGAAAATAAAAAGTAATTATAATCTTATATGATAATAAATTATCATAATATTTATTTCATAATAATAATATGATGAACATTATGCATAATGATATTTTATAAATACAAATTAATGTTAATTTATCAATATGGTATATAAATATGATATAAATATAGATAATTTCAGATATTCAACCCTAAACAACGCATAAAGTATTCCAATCAATTATGAACGATAACGAAGGCAAATGATAAGATCCGATAGCAGTCTCTGACAGGATAATCAAATATATCGACTAAAGTTTAAATCATATGCCTATAATTGATCCATCGTAAATATCTCAATTAACAGGAATAGGTAGGCTTTTAGCTTATTTTTATTTTTTTGCAATAGTATTTATACGTATTCAAAATTTCGACTTATATAAAAATGATTACATAAAAATGACGTGTTAAAAAATTTTATTGATTTTTTTAACTTAAATGAATAATAATAATAATTCATTTTTGAGATTTCATACAAATTATTCAAATACTGAAAGTATTGTCTTTCAGTATAATCATAGTCGGGATTAGAGCAGACACCGAGACATGCAATCCGCTCGTGTTTCCTGCAGCTACAGATCAAGGAGGAGGAAAAAAAGCATCCACAGTATTGTTACTACGTAGGGTCGATGGAACTGCTAGGTGGCATCTAATGAGAAGAAGCGAACAATGAGCCTTTCTAACTTAAGTGCCCTAGGGTGAATGCCAGAAGGGTACTCTTACCACCCTTCTTATTTCATTCATTTATTCTCACGCTTGCTTCACGAATCAGACGAGTTATCTGACTAGATAGATCTCCAATGTGAATGGTTTTATGATTTTTGCGATATTTGGAAATAATAGTGTATATCATATAATCGAACTTCTTTATATTAAAGTTCGATTAAACAATCTTTTTCTTTCCATAATAAGATTAAAATTATTTAATTAGTCATTATTTATTTAATAAAAATAATTTTTATTAAAATTAATACATTAATACTTTTTTCAATTATTAATTAATTATTATTTCATAAATCATGTAACAATAAAAACTTTGTTTAAACATCTAAACGTATAAATTATTTACATTAATGAAATATATATAAATTTCAATTCAAAATGATAATGATAGTTGCTAATGATTTTTATATTCATGTTAAAAATAAAATAAAAAAAAAAGTAATCAAGCAAATAATTAATTTTAACTTTCAGAAATTTCTTTATTTTTATATATCAATGCTATTTGATTTAATTTTATAAATAATAAAAATAAAAATTATATTTAATATAAAATAAATATAAAAATTTTTATTTTGAAATATTTCTAATAATATGTAAATTAAAAACTAAATAAATATTAAATATAATAATTCCTTTTTTATATAGATATATTAAAATTCACAATTTATTATTATTTAATTTTTATTAAAGTCAATAAAATTATTGTTGTTAAAATCATATCTAAATTATTGTAATATTGACATATATATGTAAATGATATCCAATATTTAAATTTATCTAACAGAAATATAAAACACTTAATTTATATTTTTTTATTATATCAGATAATTCTGTACAATTATACAAAATAGTTTATCAATTATCAAATTTATCGAATTTCAATTTGAATATAAAAAAATTTTTATATATATTTGTTAAATAAAAATATTTCTGTAAATTATATTCTTTAAATTATAAATAAGTTGATTTTTTAATTAATATTGATGTAAAGAAACATTTTAATTTTAATATTACTTTTAAAATACTTATAAAAAATACTTATAAAATACTTATGTTTTTATTTTTAATTTTTTTAATTAGAAATTTTTTAAATTATTTTGTTCATATTTTAATTATGTCAAATTTAAGGAAAGAAATTACTTCAAAATGTTGAAATTTTTTAATTCTATTATAACTTAATCACATAAAAAATGTACAATGAATGTGAATGTACAATGTATTATCTTATTGTATATCTTTAATTAGACAACTCTTCTGACTTCAAAAAATCGTTTTAGATAGAAAATTTGTCCTATTGTCATACAAACCAAAACCATAGCTTCAAAAAATGCCCACATAACTACACGAGAATTTGTGCTTTCACTAATAGCTCTATGATTTCGATCTCTAACCTAAAAATTAACAAATAATATTAATTTAATTCTATGAAACTGTATATTTATATATTATAATTTATGTATAAAAAACATAATAAATTACCTGCATATATTCTTGCTCATTTTTCACACCCCATAAACTTGTACTTAATTCTTTAATCATATCATCTATTTTGCTATGGTTTGAATCAGCACTTTTTCCATCAGAAGTTTGTTCAATAGGTTTTTTACTTTCACCAATGTCCATATTAAACATTACAACTTTTGGTGTCATACTACTTTTTTGATTACCAAAACAATAAGTATAAACACCAGGAACATGTGTAGCAAATGTATATTTACCACTACTTTCTTGATCACCTTGATAAATTATTTTTCCATCAGGACCAATTATTTTTACATCTATGTCTAGAAATCCACCTTCAGCTATTTCAAATGTAAGACCTAAAAATATAAAAATAAAACATAAAATTTTATTAAATTATCTTTTGATCAATTAGTATTTTTATTCTTATACATATAAAAGTAAAATTAATAATTACATATATATACAAAATCTAACAAAATTCTTTTATATATATATATATATCTTTTATCTTTTATATACTTATTATATATCTTATATCTTTTATATACTTTTTATTAATTCAAAATTCTTTTATTTAATATAGACATTTTAAACATTGAATAATTACTTCAATATTTACATTGCATTTACATTGAAATATAAAAACGATTTTATGTCAAAATTTTATTTCAGAAAATTCTAATTTATTGTTTTAATGTATACAATTATATATAGAAGTACAGAAGAACTAACCCATTTTCATGCCTGCTTCCACAGTCTCAAAGAAACACTCTTCGGCATGTGCATCCACAGTAATGAAATAACAATTTGCACTACAGCTCAAAAATATTAGAAATAAACAAGAAATGAGCCACCTCATTTTATTAAATTACAATATGAACCAATTAAAAACAACATACGCTTTTTCTTTTTCCTGCCACTTCACAGTGGCATGTTGCTACCACAGCGCCACGTATGCATTCTGCCATAAAATTAATAATATAGTTAGATATAAATCCTACTTATTATAATAAATATTTTATTATTAAAATGAAAGATTAAATATTTTTTAGATAAAAAATATCTTCAAATATTAGTTAAAAATTATTTTATTTGTATTATAAAATGTAAATATATATCTGTATATAACTAGCAATGATATATATAATATATATGTGATATAATTTGAATCTTTTTTTATTATTATATACGTGTATATAAAATATTATGACATTATAAGATATATAGAATTTTTGAAACTCAATTAAATTGGTGATTTAAACATTTTTTTAAAATTATATCCAAAAATAAGTTTTAAACTATCTCATGAAGAAATTATGCAATTGATTTAAAATTTTATATGGATATTTTACGTATGTAACTTACATTGAAATTATAAAAATAAGTAAGTATATATTTACATTGTTTTCTAAATAAGATATTATTAAAATTAATAATTTTTTAAGAAAATCGATGTTTTTTTAGTTTATACAGATTTATTTGATTTTGATATATTTTTAAAATAAAATTGATATAAATAAAATTAATATGATTATAAATAAATATAAATAAATATATCTAAATATATAATATATAATAATATATCTAAATTAATATAATAAAAAAATTAAAAATTATTACTAATAATATAATAGATATTGATCTATTACTATATCGAAACAAATATTAAATCAGATCCTATTCAAAATTCTTATAAATTCACATAAGAAAAAATATAAAGTTGAAGAAATTCAAAAATTGATGTCCTTAAATAATTTTTTCTAAAACAATTTTAAAATTATAATTCTAAATTATTATATATAAAATATATTTGTTCAAATTTATTTCAAATTTATTTTTATTATAAATATATATTTTGTATATTATATTGAATCTTATTATATAATTATATGTATATAATCGAATCTTAGTACGAAAATAATTTATAATATAATCGAATAAAAACTAATATTCTTAAATTAAAAGAGAAATTAAATGTTTTATATAAAGTTTATCTCTCGTTTCATAATTATATATATATATTATATTCATTTTATATAATTTAATATAATGTATAAAATATTACACATTTAAAGCATATGGCTATTACAGATTATAATATCACGCATCTGATAAAAATATTACAGATTTTTTATACAAAAGATATAATTATTACAGATTACAATATTATTTGATAAAAACATTCCCGCGTAGCTATTATAGATTGCAATATCATTTCTGATAAGTTACAATTTAAATTAGATAGCTATTAGAATCTCTAATTAGAAGCAATAGATTAAAATTGGTAATCAACATTAATTTTATTATTAAAAAGATATTTATTCAAATATTATTTATTATTATTGTATTAGGATATATAAAAATGTTATATTTAAAGTGCTTTTGTATAAATATATATGTACATAATATAAAAATATTTTTACATAACATTATTCTATATATATTATTTTATTCATATTATTTGATTTAAGTTTTAGTAAGATTTATTATTTTACAGTGTATTATCACTATATGTAGATCATTCATGGTTCATGATTTTATATTATTAAAAAGTAACATAAAAATCATATTTTTTAAAATCAATAAAAATGTTACGAAAATTTTAAATATATAAATGAGAATTATTGTTAAAAATAAAAAATATTAAAAAATACTATTAAAAAATAAAAAAATAAGAAATATGAGTGGTATGTGTCGATATTTAATAATATCACGAAATATTTTTCTCCATTGTCGAAGACAAGACTTCGTTATTACTTCATCTTTTGTATCATATTTATCTTCTAAACAAACACGTAATAATTCAAATGTGTATGTATTAAATATATATAAATATATATTCATTATATGAAAATATATATATTACATAATATTGTTTTCATTATTGCTATTTTTCAAGTGTGGTACCAGTAAAACTTGCATATGTTTCTTATGAATCAATGGATGGAAATAAAAATGCTCTTAAACATCCTATAATAATAATGCATGGTCTTTTTGGTTCAAAGACTAATTGGAATACATTATCAAAAACAATTCATCAAAAAACAGATCGTAAGGTAGATACCTAGATTTTATATAATATAAAGAATACTTGAAATAAATTTATAGGTGATAACTATAGATGCAAGAAATCATGGAGATTCCCCGCATTCTACAAATATGACATATAGTCATATGGCACAGGATGTAGTTCAACTTATGAATGATTTAGGATTTGAAAAATCTATATTATTAGGACATAGCATGGGTGGTTCAGCAATGATGTATGTAGCTTTAAATAATCCAGAACGAGTAGAGAAGTTAATAGTAGTTGATATGTCTCCAGTGAGGACCAGTCCTCATCTTAAAGACATGAATAAAATATTCAAAACAATGAATGCAATAAATTTAGAAGGAATCAAAACATTGACAAAAGCACGTAATATGGTAAAAAATCAACTTGCAAATGTTATTAAACAATTCGCTATATGTGAGGTAATTAAATATTGGTTATATTTCATATAAATTCATTTAATATTTATATTAATTTTTTTTTTTATTATAGTTTTTAGCAATGAATTTAGTAGAAGCAGATATTGGAAAATATAAATGGCGAGTTAATTTACCCATAATAGAAAAAAATTTTCCACAAATTGCTACTTTCCCAGATATAGGATCAAAATTTTATAATGGACTTACATTGTTCATAGGTGGTTCTAATAGTGATTATATAAAAATAGAAGATCATGATAAAATTAAACAGTTATTTCCTTCTGCTCGTTTTACTTATATAAATGGTGCAAATCATTGGGTACATGCAGATAAACCAGCAGAATTTTTAAAAATAACAATTAATTTCATTAATGAATCATAATTTATTATTATTTTATATATAAAAAAGTACACAGTATGTTTTGTAAATATATACATTTATTTGTGAATCTTATGACATTATATATAAAACAAGAAAAAATAGTGAAATAAAATATAATTTTATGTAGTATAAATAAATTATAAATTTTGTGCTTATCAAAAACTTAACATTTTTTTTAACTTCTTATTTGTTATTTTCATAAAAATACATACTTAATGTTATTATTATATTTAAAATTTAATACTGTTAAAAATAATTTTATATGAGTCATATTTAACAAAAAAATTATTTTGATATTAAAATAAATTAAAATAGAATATATATGTTTAATCAATTATAAATTTAATACAGAAATTCAATGATTAAAAAAAGTTTGAACTCTGATCATATTATATAAATTCAATATTTAAATGTTAATATGAAAATTTAAGAAAATTGCAATTATGTCTAAAAAAAAAAATTGAATTGTAATTTAAATTAGCTAAATATTTGCCACTATTATCACAATTCTTTTGCAAAGTGCAAATAGCTTACTAACTTTACCTACTAAAGTACATCATGTGTATGTCCACCATTATATGCATAATCTGCTTTGTTATGCATTACCAATTGATTGTCCACAAAATAAAATGAATCTGAACGTGTTTCAAATGGATTTGCAATCATTTCAGAAACTGTAATTATCATTTTTAATATATATGTATTAGAATTTAACAAAATCATATTCAATAATTCTTTCACTGCTTACCCAAATCAGCAGGTAAAGTAGGAAATTCATAAATGTGTTCGCAAGTATTCTTACTATTTGGTATACAAAATCCAAATTGAAAGTCAAAAGTTTTTAATAATCTATCTCGAAAGAAATGACGTTCAATCATCCGAAAATTATTTACTGGCTTTGAACCCACCAGAAACTCAATTGTAGCTCCTACAGTCTTTAGTTTAAGAAATTGAGGTGTAAATTGATACCGTACAAAACGGCCAGTATTAGCATCTTCACAACCAGATTCTTCAATTTCTGATTCTACATCTTGATTCAAATCACAATCTAAAATATAAACAATAAAATTTAATTTTGTGAAATATAAATTTTTATATAAATCTTTATAACTATCACTAACATAATTTTTTAAATTGCTAACCGGTAATTGGTGGTTTTGTTATTTCAAATAATATTGCTCCCGTTTCTAAATCTCTAATTTGAAATCTTGTAAAATCTATGTCATAAATGTTTGCCTCAGGAGAACATAAATACTCTAAAATTAATATCAATATATAATTTTTGTTTAATCTTTTCTTGTATAAATTAAAAAAATATTATTTTACTATCAGTAATCGTAGGTAATCGTAGCACCATTTCCGGGGTTATAATATTTTCTGCAATATTTCCATTATCAGTATTTTCTTGTTCTGCTGATGATGAAAATGAAACAATAGCTTCATTTGATTTATTTTCGCTATCAACACTCATAATTTAAATGTAATTATACAATATACAGGCAAATAATTTATAATTAAACACCGTATAATAATTATAAAATGTCACAAATGACATTCATTGAATATTTGTACATAAAATTTCAAATACATTAAAAATATTTTATTTGATATTTTTAATTGTAAAAATATTTATACATTCAATGTTATTTTCATTATAAAAATGTTGTAACATTCTTTATGAAATTATTTTTATTTTACAGCGACTATCAACAATAAATATCCTGAAATTATATATGATTATAGAAGAACTACTTTCTTATATAGTTTTGAAAGTGAAAAAAAAAAATAACTATTATTTTTTCTATTATTAGAATTTTATTATCAATATTGTATAATGTATGGATTTTCTAAAATTTGTAAAGTTTTGTTGGATTATGTTGTCAAAAAATTCAATTAATTAGTTTCAATTTCAAATAACAAATTTTCTAATTTATAATTCAATTTTATTATACTTTATTATACTATGTTTATTATATTTACTAATAATATATACTTTATTTATTAAATAACTTATATGACTTTTTAAAAATAAAAAAAAACTATTTAATTTTAAACTATTGAAATTTATTAATTTTTTATATAAATATAATTACAAAATTATTAATATCATAATATACGATATGAAACGATATAAATTTATTTTTTAGATATTAGATTTTTTTTTTTAGATATTAGATATCTGATTAAATTTACAAACCTGTTTTTTACAAAAAGAAAATAATTAAGGCAATTTACAATAAATACAACGATAAAATTTTTCTACTTAAATATATTAAGTATATTCATAGAATGTTAAAATATATTCATAGTAATAAAAAACACATAATTCATAAATAACAAATTAAAAAATCTATTTTAAACTTTAATTGTTTTAATTTACTATTTTCAAATATAAATGAACAAATTTTATTATTTCAAATATCAATTCTAATTTAGTTAATAATCATTGCAAAATTCTTTATTTAACCAATTTTTTTTATTTTTTATACATGTAATATTTTTTTTTATATTTATACTATTTAGTGTTTGTTTTGATAATAGTAACCTAACCTCACTTTTATAGAAATTGTTACGCTCTATATATATATATATATATATATATATTGATGGAGATTCGTATACAATAATTAATTACTTCATTTGAATTTCCGAATCAATTAAATATACTAATGATAGTTATAAGTATTTGAATTTCTTTAATTCTTTGATTATTTTGTGTATATATCAATTAATGACTATGTCTAATTCATCACAAATTTCTAATGAACCTTATCGTGAATTAGAAGAATTACGTGGTTCAGAATTAAATATTAATTCAGAAAATGTTTCAAGGTGTAATAGAAATTTTGGAAATTGCGTTGCTTTGGAGCTTTCTTCTGTTGTAGTTATTCCAGATGGTAAATTAAATTTCTTTAGAAAATGTATATTGTAATATGTGTAAATTATTATAATGTATTTTCACAATATTGCTGGCAATTTTTATGTACAGGATAATCTGCTTAAACTTATCTGTAAAGGAGCGGGTAACTGTAAGTTATGTAAATATTTTATTATGCATGGGAATGTAACATCAGATTTTTTAAAAATAGAATTGCTTTAGTTAATATTGTAATGATGATATTTTTTTGCAAGGGTCTTGAAATGATATTTTCATTTTCTATTTAGATATAAATAAAACATTACTAACAATTTATTTTAATGCATGTAAAACAAAATAATAATTTAAAGAATATTTTCATATATTTTTATATTAACAAGCTATAATTATTTAATGTTAGAATTTAGTTGATTTGTTATATATTTCACATATTAAATTTATATATATTGTGTTACACACAATATAAAATATATTGTATGTAAATAACTTATAACACATTATTTTTTTCTTTTTTAATTTAAGTATATAAGTAATTAAATATATATTTTATATATATATAATATATGTTATAAAAATATATAATAATTATTGATATAAATTTGTCTATTTTATTAAACCTTTTTTCTAATATTACAAATTTATTGACAGATACTTTTACTGTTGTTCAAGCTGTAAATGCATTAGGATTTGGAAAGTTTCAAGTTAAGTTATCTTTATTTACGGGTCTCTGTTGGATGGTAGATAGTATGGAAATAACAATATTAAGTATCTTAAGTCCATCATTACATTGTGATTGGGGCATAACCAGATATCAACAAGCTTTAACTACTACGGTAATATTATTTAATAATATTAATATCTAAAGAAGATCTAATAATTTTTATGTTATTATTTTAGGTTGTCTTTTTAGGTATGATGTTAAGTTCTACATTTTGGAGTAGTTTAAGTGACAGATATGGTAGTAAACAATCTTTAACTTTATGTGCAATATTATTAGTCTATTATGCTTTTTTAAGTGCTTTTGCACCAAATTTTCTTTGGATTTTATTACTTAGAGGATTAGTTGGATTTGCTATTGGTTGTGTACCACAATCGTAAGTATTTAATAAATTTTATAAACAGATACCAATATTTATAAATGAACAGTATTAATTATTATTATTCCAGTGTCACATTATATGCAGAATTTCTTCCAGCAAAACAAGAGCAAAATGTGTAATTTTATTAGATGTAAGCATAGTTATATATATATATATATATATATATATATATATATATAATAATATATATATATATATATTTT